AGGCAGAAACATCCAAAGAAAGCTCTGAATGTCCTTCAAGAAGCCTGGAGAACTATTCCTGAAGACATGACATGAAAGCTCCCTTAGAGGGTTCAGACTGGAAGAATAAAGGTTGTCATGCCAAATATTGACTTTAAAGCTCATTAGAATTGTACAAACTCTGTTCTTGCCTTACATACTGTATTTCCCTGTATCTTTGCATACTTTTTAATAAATAATTGCACCTACTTCCAATTTTCCTACCATAATATAAAGAAATGAGGGGTCACTTAAGACCTTTGCACATCTCTGGATGTTTGTTTGATGTGTTATATTCAAGTGCAATTTACAACCGACTTGTTTGATTGGTAGGTCACACACCCCCTCTAGTGGTTTTATCCTACCCTACACTACACTCAGTAGCGGTTTTTGATATGGGCGACACGGGCAAAAGAAAGTTGCTTGCACCCATGCTGCCCCGACATCATGACAGCGCATTTTGGGGATTGCATGGGCACCGGTCGGTTTTCTATCGCCCATTTGCGAGGACTAAGGGCGCCATCGGTTTGCGACGTGCGCCTTCTGCTTGCGGCAGGGAGGACAGGACGGGGCGGCGGGGGATTTAATAACCAGCTCGCAAAATAAAAAAAATAAAAACAAACCAACAAACACGAAAACAGCAGACATTATGATACAGACTTATAATTTGCACTGCATTTAATGTTTTTTTCTAAATTCTATACGCGAAAAGTGAGCGTCAGAGCCCTCGGTGCGCATGCTCGCTGCTGCTGCTGAAGTCAAAGTAAACTTTATTGTCATCTCCGCTACATACAGAACAGTATATAGAGAGACGAGACAACGAGGCTCCAGTTACAGCAGTGCACGAAAACAAACAATAAATATAAGAAGAGTAAGAAAATAAATATACGTTTTAGGACTCGGGGTAAAGGGATCAATAACAAGTTAAAATTTATAATTTACAGTTTAATGATCTAAAGTCTCACATACAACCTGTCAAAAGGGGGAGGGGGGCGGCTGCTTCCAAATAGAGCACATTTCATTCATAATGTAAATCAGAGCCCATTATGTATTCATGATTTGTTCCTGGGTTGTGTGAAATCCCAGAAATAAACTAAAGTGAATCTGTGAACTAAGGTGTAGGTGTGTTAGATTATGTTGTGGTGATCCTCGGGCTGGGGGATGGGTGTTCATACTGGAGTGCAAAATTAAAACCAATGGAAGATGGACAAGAAAAGTTCAAAGCCATCAGGTGCTCAGTTTAGAAAAAGAGAAAAGAAGAGGAGGAGAAACGAGCAAAAGATACAGGTAAGCAGATGTGTCATTGGATAATGGCAGGTCATCCTGAAACAATCAGAATCACAATACTTTATTAATCCCTAAGGAAATAACTTGAGTTACAGTTGCTCCAAGAAGAAATGGTAAAAATAGTAACAGTAACAGACTAAACTCCAAATAATACATTATGTTACAGATTTTAAGAAATAGCACTAATATATACAGATCACTCAATTATAAATATCAAGGATTAACAGAGGTGATTATAAATAAATATCAAGAAAATTGACAAGAATATTACAGAGTAGAAAAAAATGTGTGCAAAAAGAGTGTATTAGATGGAGGAGTTGTACAGGGAGATGGCCACAGGTAGGAATGGTTTCCTGTGTCGGTCAGTGGTGCTTTTTGGTAATATCAGTGTCTCTCTGAGCGTGCTCCTGTGATTAGCCAGCATGTCATGGAGTGGGTGGGAGGTATTATCCATGATTTTCCTTATCTTGGACAACATCCGCCTCTCAGACACCACCCTAATGGAGTCCAGCTCCATCCCCACAACATTACTGGTCTTGTGGATAAGTTTATTTAGTCTGTTGGCGTCTGTGACCCTCAACCTGCTGCCCCGGCATGCAACAGCAAAGAGGATAGCACTGACCACAACAGAGATACAACAAGATAACATTAATTAGTAGGTATAGTGATGTTTGTTAGCCACTTGGTTATGATAGTAAACAGTAGACACTGATGTAGCTTATTGAATCTTTTGGACTGTGTTCGGCACAATATTAATTAGTCATTGTCAACTTTGATTTGTCCTGTTCTCATCGTATGACGAATTATAATGGCTGTTTGTTAGCCGTACTACTATGCATACTCGCTCTCTCCATATATATATGTGTGCGTGTGTGTTTGTATGTTTATCTGGTTAAAATCAGCATGGTTCCGAAACAGTTTTTACAATAAAATATGTTAATGTACAATCCTTAATATGTTTTATGTGTGGGGTCAGAGGGAGTGTTCGCCCAGGGCACCAAACAGGCTAGGACCGCCCCTGCTTACACTCTAAACTTATTGGTGCTCAATATAACGTTTGACGAATGGAAATTAAAAATAGAAAAAGAGGTAGTCAAAGGAGCTTGCAAAGAAAAGCGTCTGGACTTCTTTAAGTTACTTGAAGACGTTTCACCTCTCATCCGAGAAGCTTCTTCAGTTCTAAGGTCAAGTGGTGGAGAGTCCAGAGTCCCACAATGAACTCACCCGAAACTCTGGCTGATTGGGACCCACACCCAGTTTCACACCTTGGCTCAGGCGATTAGAGGATCATCAGGGGGTCCTTTTGTCCCTCTGTGGGGGGAAACTCCCACTAGGTTTATATCTGGGACTCTCCGCCACTTGACCTTAGAACTGAAGCTTCTCGTAACTTCAAGTAACTTAAAGAAGTCCAGACGCTTTTCTTTGCAAGCTCCTTTGACTACGAGGACCTGGATGACTGAGAACCTTCACAGACAGAAAAACAGGTATATTTTCTTTGTGTTTCAATAATCATTCAGCAGCTCTGTAAATTAAATGAGAATTAAAGGGGGACAAAAAAATTTTTGCAAAATATCTTAATTCAGTTTTTTTTTAATATATATGATCAGCACCTAAAAGAAAGTCATGGATAGCTGAACTTTCACACTACATAGTTGCTGAAAGTGTCTCCTCTGGGTCGGTCTTCTGCCAACTGGTTGTACCGGGAGCCGCCAGGCTGGGCTGAAGGTGCAGCTGGAGCTGGGACTGCCAAAAGTTTTGAGGTTGTTAGTCCACTTATTTGCACTTAACATCCAAAAACGTTTTAAATAAAGATCACTGTAAGAAAAAGACAAAAGAAAATGTGAAAATGTGCTTACCTCTGTTAGCAAATGGGGCATTGAACTACTGTCTCCTTCTCAAGAACACCTGTGGAAACAAAGCCTGGGTATTCATGCGCTGTGCATAAAGGGCAACAACTGTTTGGCTCTTTAATTTGTGCCGCTCTGACTCTTGACTCACCTCCTCGCTGCTCTCTGAGCTGGAGCTGGAGCTGCCATCGTGGCCGCACCTCAGAGAGACCACCTGGGGAGACCTGGCCATCATTCGTACCCGGGTGGAACAGGTGAAGGAGGGCTGAAGGTGGGTAAAAGAGAAAGAAACAAGAAAAAACCCTGCTTTATTAGTCTGTGTGATATTTCTTTAAATACCTGGTGGCCGCTGTCCCGTCAATCACACAGGGGCACATTCTGGCCCAGTAAACTCGTGCCAATGTAAACAACAGGCTGTAGCACTGAGTCAACATGTGTCCACACCAGGATACAGATATCAGCCCTTCACAGGGAACCATCCACATAATATTCCAGCTTCTGACGTGGCTAATTTATTTATTATCTCACTGAAGTATTTGGAAAGCATTGGTTTAAATGTCTCACCACAAAGAAGCCGGGCCTGAAGGCACAGGCCTGAGGGTCGTCTTGGGAAGTCTTTGCACACTGAGTCTCCTTAATCCGAAAAACCATCAGCAGGTCGACGGTGTCCAGGCCCGTGGGGATGACCTGTCACACGTGGGATATTCAGGACAAATCAGCTGTTGCCATACTGTTAAATGCATTAAGCACACAACAGGCTCACCTTTGCGACAGAGCCTGTAGTGACCCGGTAAAGGTGGCTGGCAGCATACACAGAGTTGACCTCTGCCAAAGCTGCTCCCAGGGCGCTGTCTGCCGCAGACTGCAGCTCAGAGTTGTGAAGTGGGATGCCTTCAAAGTCACAGACGAGGAGGAGGGAAAGGTGAAGTTACTGAATCTTATTTTGAAGTGATCAGGACAGAAAGTTACTCACCTGTGCATCCAAGAGACAGCAGCAGGGCTGGGAGGAGCACGTATGACTTCATCTTGACGATGGGCACCAAACCAAAATGCCTCAAAGGTTCATCTACTTCTCTCTAAATATACTCAGCACTGAACCTGTGCACCGCCTCTTAAACTCCATAACCCCTTAAAAAAAAGCCTCCCTCTCTTGCACTGTCCTGTCTGCCCAGCTTCCTTTTATGTCCTTTGGGTGCATTCCAGTACCCACACTACCATACGATGTCCTAATACACTGTACGTCAAATGCAATGTGACAAATAACCGGGATGTCCTGCTGCATGCAATATGTTAGGCATGCTTTAGGGTCATTCTGATCCTGAGTCCTCTACATGAATGGTAGGAGGTTCAAAGTTCAATATGATAAAGCAGTATGTCCCAGTCACATGCCCATTGTAAGGATGATAGAAATGTGTACTGAGTGTAAAAACAAAAAGAGAAGAAAGGAAAATAAGGTGAGCCCAGGCTGATGTGCTAAATTAAATTAGTAAATATTTGTGCATCCTCTATATGAGACTTTCTTAAATGTATGAGAAAAATTCTGATGATTTAGAAGCTACTCGAGACCCTTTATAATATATATTTGCAAACTTATGATGCAATTTAAGGAAAACTGTCTCAATCCACCTTAAATATCCACTTGTTCTGCAGCGATGACGAGACTGATAACAGCTCTGAGAAATGCTTTTGCATAAAGTGGTTTTTATTTCAGTCATGTTAATCTCCCCTCGGTTTTCTTCATCTTTACAGATCACTGACCCCATCTGTCACAGCACATTTCAACTTCAGGTCAGGTTCGGGCACTTTGACAATTTATAGGCCTGATAAGAACAGCCCAGACTGTAGTTCTCAGCTGTTAGCAGTTTATATAGTGAGACACAAAAGCAACAATCCCTCCCACTCACTGTATGTTTATTACATTCATCCTTGATATCAAAAATACATTCTGGAAATGTGAGGAACTGGAACTCTTGTAAACAATGAATGTTTCCTGTTATTTTGCTCCCTTTTCAGCATAGTTTAGCACACGATTTGTTCCCCTTCAGACACAGTTCACCCCAAAATGACTTGATTCTATCTAACACACAAAGAATAAATGTTCAGTCAAATTAATTTCGCTTTAATCATGTGGGGGAGTATCGTTTAAAGTTTCAGAGCACTAATGTGCAGCGATCACGTTAGAAATAAAAAGCAGCACTGAAACATTAACACGCACCACGTTAACAAAACTGGAACAACAGACAACGATTAACTACAACTTCTAAACACAGGATTGTGGATGAATTCACACCCACTACATGAAGAACATTTTCATTACTTACATTAAGATTTACTATCGGAGTCATATTCACGTTTTATGGGAATGACTTTGATCCTTGAGTTGAGCAGTGTGCTCAAAACATCACTTAGTTTTGTTCTGTTTTGTGGGTTTTTCACCCCAAATTAGAGCCTTCAGTTGTTCTGATTCAAACTTTATCCTCTCTCATTTCTACTTTTAGGAGAAATCCTGGAACTAACCTTTCAATACCTGTATTTGGGAGTCTTTTATCCACAGCTCTCTGCTTGAGCTCATGACTGATCTGCAGCCCTAAGTGCATGAGGGGAAAGGTGCTCCAAGTATCAAACATCACAACACGTGCACAAACACACATGTAGAATAATTCCTCCTCTCATCGCTCGAGTGTTCCTATGAGTGGCTCAACAGCGGCTAGAAAGCAGGCTTCAAACTCCTGATCTGAGAAGCGAGCCACAGACTGACGCGCGTTGCGCCTGATCTGGAGGCGGCTGCTTGGCGACATAGCCAGAATCCTTTGGATGGCTTCTGCATAGCCGTCCTCGTCATCAGCAAGAAAGCCAGTCTGACCCCCCTCAAAAGGTACAACAATGTCCAACTTGGGGCCGCCAGACTTGTGAGCCAGAATCACCTTCCCTGCTGCCATACACTCCACGACACCTAGAAGGGGGGGAAAAAGAGAAAGAAGTTGGATATTTTCAAGAAAATCCCGTTTTAAAATAGACATTATGTCAAACGGATTGATTACCTATTCCAAAGTGTTCATTCCACATGGTATGAAGTCCAATTGTAGCTTCCCCCATCTCTCTCTTCAGCTCCTCAAAGGGTACGTTCAGCTTAAACTCCACCCTGTCAGCCACGCCCAGCTCCTGGCACAGCCCCCTCAACATGAGCACTCTGTCTTCATCTTCCTGGTTCCTGCATCCACCAATCAGAACCAACTTCAGTGCCTCTCTTCCCCCTAACCCCTCCCTCCTCCTATCAAGCACCTTTTTAAAGGCTCGAATCTGCAGCCGGTGGTCTTTCTCCGGCCTGAACTGCCCAATAGAAATGATCGAGTGGCACTTCCTGTCCCCGTCCTCTTCGAGCGGGATGTCTGTGAAAGCGCTGACGTCACAGGGCGGGTAGACCACACAGGTGCGGTTGGGGGAGCGCCACAGTGATAGGATATGATCGAGGGTCCAGGAGGAGTTGACCATGATCAGGTCACTGCAGGAGCCGGCCATGCCGTAGAGCAGGGCGAAGAGACAGTAGTAGACCACCTTAAAGGCACTCAGGAAGAGGCTGTTGGAGATGTAGTCTGGGTTGTTGAACCTGAGACATTAACAGTGTGAGACGGTTAGAAAACAGCTGTTTAAAAATTAATTAATTAATTAATTAATTAAGAACACAATCAGTTAGCGTGCTCTTTAAACACAGCGTATACCTGGGGTTTCTCTCTCTGACTACAGAGAGCATGTCAGTGCTGATGGTGGGGTAGTGAACATAGCTAGCCACGCTGCAGCCTCCCAGGTAGCGGAACAGAGGCAGAGTAAAGGCATAACCCATGGAGTCGATGTAAATGTCTGGGACAAACTCTGTCAGTGCCTCCCACCCCAGGAAGACAGATCCCACGCTCTGTCCCAGCAGGGTGAAGTGAGGAAACAGTCCGGGCTCCACGAGCAGCCGGTGCCTCAGGAACACAAAGTGAACCGGGCGGGGGAGCAGGATGTTGAAGCGACGTCGTGCTCCCTCCAGGATCTGCTGGCCTGTCACCCCCAGGTCCCCTGTGTACACCACAAAATTGATATCTGCATACCTGTGGAGACATCGAGGTCTTTTAGGACTTTTGAGAATCACCTTAAAATTGTGCAGGAAAAGCAAAAAGACACCCAGCTCTACCTGTTCTGCAGCGCTCTGATAGCACACCAAAGCACCCTCTCTCCTCCTCCCCCAGCATTACAGTAAGGGTGAAAGAAGGCCACAGTGGGACGTCCGTCCCTTGCTCGCCGCACAGTCCTGTTGCTCTGCAGCCAGAAACGCACTGCCAGCACCAGCAGGACCAGGACAGCAACGAGCAGAACACAGAGGAACAGCAGAGGCAGCAACAACTTCCACAGTAAACTGAAAAACATGGGAAGAAAATGCTGAGTAGTTCTGTTAACCTGGGTTATAATTCATAAACACACTGAAGATGAAGCTTTAGAGAAAGAACCAGAAAGGAAAATACATCCAGGAGATAGAGAAGACAATACATGGTAAAATCCACAAAGTAAAAGACATCAGAAAACAAGGTATAAACCTTTGTGCAAGAGAAGCTGAAACCCACACAGAGACATGGAGAGCAGTCAAACCACACAGAAAGGCTCCAGCTGTGACGTGACAGTGGTAACCCCTCCACCGACATGCTCTCTTGTCCGCGTCAAGGCACTCTGTGACCCCTGTATGACCCCTGTTTCTTTTATGCACCATGTATGATCACACCTGTATTACTTTACACTGTTTGAAGATTTTCCAATGAAAAGCAGGTTCTGCGGGAACCTGAGCAAATGTGAAACACAGGCAGTTCTCGCGATAGTGTCAAGGTGTTCTGCCATAAAGTGATAAAGTCTTTCTACATGTAATATTTGTTTACTTTTGGTTAGTCAACAGGATTTACAAAGGGGTTATATATAAAATGAAAAAATAAATAAAAAAGATTTGTTTGGCAAGTATCTTTATAACCCTGCATTATTGTAACTATATTATAATCAATCCAGTCCTTTTTAGACAACTTGATACAACTGTGAAAAACGCATTGGTTTTAATGTCAATGAGACTTGACTTTGCAGGGAAAAAAATGATTGCAGTATCTACCTTGTATCAGGAATGTTTTTTTCTGGCTCAAAATGATTTGACATCATTAACGAGATATGTTTGGTTTATATTTTTTGGCAGGCAATCACTTTTTAGAACAACAGGTTCCTCTCGACCTCTGTCACTATTAACCCGCTGGTGGAGCTAAAATTCAACAGATATGGGTCAAATTTAACCCGGAAGAGCCTCAGTATAGAAAAAAAAATGTAGCACACGAACAATACTTTTTAAAATGCTTTTATTCTTCTTCTTTTTCTTTTTGTATTTCGGGGTTAGTTTAAGAAATAACATCGAATTTGAAGTTAAAGAAATGACGTTTAGGTTGTTTTTACTGCTATCAAATGTCAAAACAGGTCAAATTTGACGCGAACAGTTTTATGAGGGTTAAAGAAACCGTGTTACATATTTATAATGAGTGTTCAACTTGCATTACATTTTTAAATAAGGTTAATATAATATATTGTTATAATTAAAGCTTATTAAAAAAATCTTATTGGATTAAATAACTGTCCACCAGTCCCCTTTTGGATTTTATAGAGACGTTATATTATATTGTTAACAAATCGGAACCCCCCCGGTCTGTGCACATGCATTTCCCCCGTACAGGGAAATTAGCTCAACAGCTAAATAACCAGAGCTTTGTGCAATATTTCACCGCTCTTAATCGTTTGTCTTTGACCAAAGATCGTCTCTGCTACTACAGAACTAGCAGCAGCACCCGAAAAGAAAACGACACAAGCTAACTCGGTTTCCCCACGCGACCGTTTATCCTGTTATCCCGGTTTGAGCGCGTGCTTTAAAAACAAATATATCCTACCTTGTTAACTCACACAAATAGTGGGCCAGCTGATCGTGGCCCGACATCTTGGCAATGGAAATTTAACAACACATCACAAAAATCGCTTCCACTTTCCCCCTATGCTGTTTTCTTCCCGTTTCCCCCCCACGTGAACCTCAAACTCTATAGTATTTCCCTTTTATCTGGCGCCACCCACAGGCGAGGAGGTGTTACGCCACTGGGGTTTTCTACGATTAAAAAGAAGAAGTGCAAAGCTGACGTTACTTTAGATTTTTGCGATTTGTACTACATAAGTTAATAAAGTTGTTTACAATGTAACAGTAGCAGTTAACTAAGCAGAGGGCTCTGCCTCAGCTGACCCGTGCCCTTGTTCTTCTCTAAAAGTAAAGTTCAACTTCTAAATAAACACAGTTTCAATCAATATCATCTCCCTGCCCTCATACTTTGAGCGGATCTCTGCCTTTTCCAGTCCAGCTGGACCCTGACATCATGTCGACTCCTTTGATTTGGTTTGTTTTCATGAATTTGAGCATACTACTGAAGCCAGGATACTGCACAGAAACAAGGTGAGGCATCTTAGCAGAGATTTCTGTCTGTGGTTGTTTTGGTTTTTGGGTTGTTTTTTTTTTTAGATTATAAGTCTTTACTCTCATTTTGAACCGTTTAAAAATGGTTATGACACTCTTGTGTAAATACCTGCAACCATATTGTGACACATGCAAATACACTCCCTATGGGTAACCGAGTGAGATTGATACTATATGGCTGTATCTTAACTGCATGAGTATTTTTTATTTTTTAAATTTAGTGACCAAGTTCTATCAATCACCCCACAAACACAAGAACAAGTGGACACCTTGAGGAATGTATCCACACACTATGAGGTAGGCATTAAAGTTAAGTGATCATACACCTGTAATGTTTTGTTTTTACTTCTGTGATTCATTACATCAGATATTTTCTCACAGACAGTCCTGTGGCAGCCTGTTTCAAATGAGTACATCAGTACACAAGTGCAGGTCCACCTCTATGTCCCTGGAAACAGCTCTGTGACAGTCAAGGCAATACTGCAGACACATGGCATAACACACAAGTATGCTGCTTAATGCACGCACACCATTCACTAAGCATCGAGTCACATTTCATTCCAAGTGAATCATTTGTGTTTGCATGTTTATTTTAGGGTCTTACTGGCTAATCCTAATGTGCTGACCGAAATGCAGATGAAGAATGACTCCACTGACCCACGAAGCGGTTCAACTTTTTATGAGAGATATCACACCCTTGAGGAGGTATACATTTCCTATTTAAAAGAATGAGATTGAAAGGAGTCCTGATGTGCTCATTTTCAGCTCTGTAGTTTTGTTTTCAGCCTCTGCTAGAGTAGCTTTTCATTGGTCACAGTTCGATATAATCCCTATCAGCCTTATTCTGGGCCTTGGTGCTCCCCATTGGTTCATCACTTAACTCCACCCCATCCATTTAAGCCAGCTTTCTTCTGGTTGGCTGCCCCATGTGAACAAAAGATTTGAATGGCAGGTGGGTGGAGTTCACAGCCAGAGCTGTGACCATTAGTGATGTGTCATACTGCAAATTTTGGTGACGATCCGATACCAAGTAAATCAAGAGCAGTATTGCCGATACCAATACTGATACTTATACTTTTAACCTATAAAGGTTATGCAGGGGAGAGCAGCATGTTATGATTTATGTGCTGAATCATTGTACATTTGCCAAATAGTTTAGAGGGATACAGTGAGGTTAGGTTAATTGGTGATTCTAAATTGCCCATAGGTGTAAATGTCAGTGTGAATGTTCTCTTCTTGGTAGCCCTGCGATAGATTGGCGAGCTGTCCAGAGCGTCCTCTGCCTCTTGGCCTAAGACAGGTTGGATAGACAGTTCGGATTGGATGAATAATAAGTCCGCTTTAAGCATGTTTAGTGACGATGATGATGATGGGCTGCCGATATTTTTTATATTTTCTTCAACTTCGCACAGTAGTTTTATTAGGATATTCTAAACTTCACAGCCACCGTTTATCACAGAGCTGTTGTTTTAGATTACATGGAAATGCACAGCTACCCTGTATGTTATACTATATTACAGCTTACAACCACGTACGCCGTCTCCATTGTAGATTTATGACTGGATTAACAGAACTGCACAAGACAACCCCAGAACAGTGAAAGCCATCCTTATTGGTTCTTCATACGAGAAGCGGCCGCTATACGTTCTCAAGGTAAAGCTGCATCCGTCAACTTGAACTTGTAGGAATGATAAGACTGTCCCATATTTACAAAACAGAAAGTTTTTGTTCATGCACAGAAAACAGATCATGGTAAGAAAAAAAACCCAGGAACATTTCTGTCATTTCATTGATTAAGTATTACTTAATTACTTTGGTATTGTTAAGAAAATGCAGTTAAAAGTCTAAAATGTATGCCCTCCATCAGATTTTTCAAAGCCATCCAGTGGGCTGGGTTGGAGTCTTTTGCTGGGCTAATTTTGGCCCTCGAACCTTATGTTTAACACTCACAGACCTTTTTTTTTTACTCTTTGTACACTTATAGGGGTAAATAATCAACATTGTTTATCCCATTAAACATACTTTAAGCTGTAAAGTGTTCAGTGTTGACAGCTCAGTTTACTTCCTGAGCACAGTTTCATGTGTATGGCCTCTTTTTTTCTCAGCTGTCTTTCAATGACAGGCCAAATAGGAAAGCCATGTGGATTGACTGTGGGATCCACGCAAGAGAGTGGATCTCTCCGGCTTTCTGCTTGTGGTTTGTGCACCACGTGAGTCCAACTGAGCTGCGGTGTCTGCGTTTGTTCTCTGTTCTCTGTAATCGATTACATTTGTTTGTTCGTCTGTCTGTTTTTTTGTTAGCAGTTTCTAGTCACCACAGTGTTCAAGATATCATTTTCAAATTTTGTTTGATGGTAGATACCAGTAACAGCTCAAAATGATTTAATTTTGGTGCTAATCTGGTCAACCCCACGGTCACACCAAATGTGAAAGTCATTCAAAACTGTATATTACCCACAGCTTCTTATGGATCACAATGCATTATCCTATAGAAGCCAAAGTTCCAATCATATGGGTTCAATACAATACACCATTTTAGTATGTACTGCGTCAAGGTCATAGGTAAAAGGTCAGGATCACATCCAATGAAGCTTTATGAAAAAGCTTTCGTTTCCACTGGATCATCTCCAAACTTAAAGCAACAAATGAAGACGTATAATTTCACAATGACAGAAAAAGACTAATACACTACACTAGATTTCCATATTGACAATGCTGACATCAAACTTTATTTTAGCCCTTGCCTTTGATGGGGAGTTGAGCTCTCTAAATGCTCTTTGTTGTAAATGCAATGGAGTCTGCTCTCTCTCGGAGCAGTTTCACGAACGCTCCGCCATCTGTCCGTCAGTCTTTGTCATTTTATCAGCAAAACTCGGAAATTACTCGCATCCTGGACAGCATGGATGTCTACGTCCTGCCTGTGATGAATCCTGATGGATACAAATACACGTGGACGGCAGTAAGAACTCAGAATCATTTTTTCAATGTAAAAGAAGTCATTTTAAATAGATGTATGATTTTTCCTTATTTTTATTTTTCAGATTAAGAGAAGGTGGTGGAGGAAGAACCGTTCCATCAGTAAGTCGGGTTTTTGCGTTGGCGTTGACCTCAACAGAAACTTTGATGTTGATTGGGGCAGTAAGTTTTCCTTTCCCTTTTTTTTTCTCATGTGTGGACGCACTCGTTGATCATGCAAGGGTCTCTGTAGCTTCCACAAGGTCACGTGTCGCTGTTGTTCCCAGTTAAGGGATCCTCTCAAAATCCTTGTGAGGAAATCAACTGCGGGCCGTTTCCTGAGTCTGAGCCCGAGGCGCAGGCTGTGGCCAACTTCCTGCGCAGACACAAGGACACAGTTCAACTCTACATCACCATCCACTCCTACTCCCAGATGTTCATCTTCCCATATTCCTACACCTTTGATCAAGCGGAGAACCACAACGATTTGGTGAGTAGTCTGGATGATCCACGAGTCTATCCAACAGCAGTGAAAGACTTATTCAACTGTTGTGTCTAAACCTCTGTGAACACACATTGTTCATAAGCTTGAGATGGTCCAAGAAGCTGCCCAGAGGATCAAACGATATTACAGGAACACCTACACATATGGTCCTGGAGCAGCCACATTATGTAAGACAGCCTTTTTTCTTTTTCGTTTTTTTAAAGCAAAGTCACTGTAACTTGAATGTGTGAGTGTTTCTATTCTTTCTTCAGACCCATGTTCTGGCGGCTCTGACGACTGGGCGTACAAACTTGGCATCAAATACTCCTTTACGTTTGAGCTCCAGGACCGTGGGGAATACGGCTTCCTGTTACCACCTTCTCACATATCCGGGGCCTGCAACGAAGCGCTGCTTGCGGTCAAGACCATTGCTGTCAAGGTTTTGGAGAAAACACAAGCTCCGGCAAACCATCACACGATCTAAGCAGTTTTGTGATTGTAACTAAACAAATTTTGTAGTTTCACTTGAGGATCAGCTAACTTGTAACCTGTGTTCAGCACAGCTGTTATTTGTGGTATTTCTGTTTCTGGAGTCCTCTAACATAACGTCTGTCTTGCAGAGATTGAGTGGAACTGAAATGTATGGATCCAAAAACATTAGTTGACAGAAAAACTGTTTTAAAAGAAGTAGAAAAAATAAGTAATGGTGTTAATGATGTACTTACCCTGAATAAAACATGATCCATAGAAAATCAACTTCTCTGTAATTTAATTTCATAATATGAAAAACACTTTTTCTTACTATTAATACTAATATTAATTTTATACCAATGTTTTAGTCTTTTAAAATGAAAGTATTTGTCATGGCAACCATGCCATCCTGCTGTAATGCCACAATTTTCAAATTTAAATAGATTAGTCCAACTAAATAAGCTAAGGTCCTGTGACACCTTGGCTTATTTTAGACCTATTTCAAGATTCAAGGTCTTTATTGTCAATACAAAAATATACACAGTATTCAGCGTATTGAAATGCTGTTTCACCTCAAGCCCCCCATGGTGCATTTATAAGAATGTGTGATAAACAAGGACAGGACAAAAGACAATACAAAGTG